CTCTCTCTCTCTCTCTCTCTCTCTCTCTCTCTCTCTCTCTCTCTCTCTCTCTCTATCTCTCGCATTATGCTCCAGAAACCAAGCTTCAATCGTAGTTTTCAAACTTACAAACACATTGATAAGAATTCCAATTAATCTTCTTATCAATTATGTAATAAACTTTCTTTTCGTCCTCCGTCCATCAACAATCAAAAGTTTCTTTTCATAACATTCATTCAGATGTTTAATGAGCGTTATCCTCATCAAATCCCAGCTCTCTTAATCCTTTAATGGTAGTGATGGTCAGTAGCTTTGTAACAGCTTTGACTACTTACCCTCTCTCTCTCTCATATTCTCAATCTCTCTCTATATAACTAATTCTCTCATACTATCTGTTTCTCTTACATTTCTTTGCTATCATTTCCTTTTCACCTTTCTTCTTATACCGTCTTCTCATTGCTCTCTCACTCTCTGCTTTGCATTAGATTTTCCTCTTAGTACGAGCTGCGGTTATTCTGCTATGTTCCCTCAAGTCACACTGTTTACCTTCATTTGCATATTACGTTTCCTCTTGCTTTCATATAGGCTACACATACAAATGTATCAATTGAAAATTAGTTATTCATTTTCCTTATTAAGCAGCTATTTCATTTTATTTTCTAACCTATTTCATGCTTACATCTCATTTCCATCTTACCATCTACATCTTATGCTAATTGGAGATGAGAAAGAGTGAGAGAGAGAGAGAGAGATCTGTGAATTGGAATGGAAAGTTGTGACCTCTCTGAGTATTCGTGTGCACATGAACATTCTATAAGTGAACAACGACCTTTAGAAGATGAAAAGCTTTTTTGTGATGAATCACATTAACAATCATCATGACGCAATCCTTACTTACTCAGAACGCCTTCGCATATTCGAAAAATATGAAAAATAACTATTCGTTTATTGATTTTTGATGATTCAAAAAGGCTTTTCATTCGCCATTTTGTCATCTCTCTACAATATTCTTTTTCTTTTCATTGAAACACTAGAAGAATCTGTTGTGATCTTTTACGAACATTCTGAATTCGTTCAGTTTGCAGCTTATTTGCTGTCCTTCTGCTCATTGCTCCCTCCTCCCCTCCTTTTCCTCAGTCCATCCCCACCCTCACCCTGTCTACATAAACTGGTCAACCATCACTACCTTAATTTCCCTCAGGCTATCTCTTTCTTATTGTCCTTCGTATGCATTTTCTTTTCTCTCTTTCTCACTGTCACTCTCTCTCTTTCTCTCTCACTCTCACAATTTCATTTCATCTATCGCCGTGGCGACAAGCTCTATCTCTCACTCTATACCTTCAGCTACATTTACATACAGAATCCCACCGACGCAACGCAGCTTCGTATATCAGCCATCATCCCCTCTTCCTCCTCCTCCCCCCCGTTTTCCCCTTCGACACCCCTTTAGGGCGTGTTTTACCTCATTCCCTTCACCTATCTTCCTCTCTTCCAACCATCTATTTACAAATACAAACATAAAATCGTTGTCTCTAGCTGTAGGCCATCTAGAACATACACAACACCAATTTCTATTTTTTCATATCTCCATTCACATCTATCAAAAAGCTTTTTTTCTGATCGTATTTTTATATTTCTTTTTATATCTTCTCTCACACACACACACACACACGCACAGACACATACATCCCTACATGTACATACCCAGACACATCTCCAATGTGTTCAGAGAGCTATAAGAATCAACATGCATTGATTGAATCGTTCAGTGAGAAAACAAGAAGATTGTTTATGCTCACTTGACTGTTTGACCTGATCGTCAAATCACTTTTTTTCGTTTTTCACCTTCTGTTCGCTCTCTCTCCCTCTCTATTTCTTTATCTAACCATACTGTCTCTCTCTCATCCTCTCACAAGCAGACTCTCTTTCAAACATCAATTGCAATGCTTAAGGAGAGGAGACCAGGAAAAAAAAACAAAAATTAACGTTTACACTAAGATATTTTTGTGTGTTAAAACAAATTCATATCAGCAATGCTTGTTATCAGCTTCATCAATCTTACATTCTATTCATCATAGATAGAAGCCTAACCGTCTAAGCGCACCTCCTCCCACCATCGTTTTCATGATTCATTCCTGTCCATTCCTTTTATTTACTTTATTGATTATTATTCTGATGTTGAAGCTTTGAAATTGGAATCAATTCGTCTTCTTCTCTATCATCTTCACATTCTTGATCTCTGTCGTTCCATATTGCTCTTTCTTTTTTTTTGTTTCTCCATTCGCTCAATCATATGTTCAAACACTGTTTTTGCAGACGAACTCATTCATACCTGTATAATTATTGATCGATATTATAATTACTATGTACTGGATAGCATCACCTGGTTAATTTCTTTGAAGTGATTGAGCTTAACCATTTGCTAACAACATGGGTTGCAATCCATGTTGCTGCTTCAGTCTCAAAGACAGTGCCGTCTCAATCGGCATCTGGTCAGTTGTAAGTTTTCATGTTCAATTTTCCATTTCATTTCTTATTTTATTTTTATTTTTTCAATTTGAACTCATACACGTTAGAGCCGTCAAAGCACATCACACATGCCCTTAGGCATAGTATATTTAAACATAATTATATATCCCTAATTAACTTATCAGTTAATTTCTTATATTGAAAGCAAAGTGTACAATCGGGCATGCGTGAGTGAATGCGTGACCGGACACGTGTACTCTTCAAAGAACAAAAAAAAAATTTTTTTTTTTCATTTTTCCTTTACTATTATTTAATAAATCAAAAAGAAGAGGAATTCGAAAGAGTAACGACTGTCTGCAGGTCTATGCAATAGCTTCCCTTTTTCTGTTCGGATGGCAGTCAGGAGTTCTAAATCATTGCCGTACGGTAACCATGTCACAAGCCAATTTACAATGTGAATGGGATTGTCCGTGTGTTGGAGCATCCACAGCACGTACAGCCAGAATAATCGAAGGCAAGTGATTTCTTCATCATGCATCATGCATCATCATCATCAACAACATCTTTCCCTTATGTTTGTAACAATCATGTCAACCTCATATACACCTCCTCACTCTCCTACCCAACCATCATTCAGTGATTCATATAGATTCTATGTAGATTAGTGATGTTGTATGACTAAGTGTGAAAGTTGGTATGATAGTTGAACCAAAATGTCCTCATTAGTATAAAATCATATTTTGAAAGCTTAAAACGGCTCTAACGTGTATATGTCCATATACATCGTATGTATCATATTTGATATTCAGGTAATGTGTATAGCACAACTAGGTATTATGGGTTGGCAAATGGCAGCTATCAAATATGAGAAAGATAGAGCTGCTAATACACTCCTACCTAATTATAATACATATGGACGATATGATATACCATCATACTATGAATCATATTGGCAAAGTCCAGAAGAACGTTACTATACAGGTATGGACATATCATATATATATATAACTCGTAACTATATACATATAGTTATATAGTTATTCTATTCTATATCAATCATTGTTATCCAGTTTTTCTATCATCCTGTATTCCACAAGTAAATAGGCCCATCTTAAGCTTATGCCAAGGACACTCCCATCATCCATTTTCATTTTGAATAACCTATCCTCAAGGCAAATACAATTTTCGTTGACGAGAAACAAATCACATTTCTCTCTCTCTCTATCCCTCTCTCTCTCTCTCTCTCTCTCTCTCTCTCTCTCTCTTACCTATGTCTAACATACATAGATCAGCATACATCCTTAACTATATATGATATAAGTTAATAGAATAGATCATTTTATAAAATAGTATAAAATATATAATATATATTATTTCATCAGCCTTAAGTAATCTATCCCACTATGCATAATAAGAGCTAACATTCATGCTTGCATAATGTCATTGACAGTCTGAGCAAACAATGTTTGTATCTTCCACACACTCGTCTCTGTCTCATCTCTATTCCTTACCTTTCCCTCTTTTCATACTCTGTACCATCACCAATGAGTTGAATGAGAGAGATAGAGATATAAATTGTATGAGAGATTATATTTGCATGTACTAATTGGATGAGTGCACAGAGATCTGAACATGATCAGAGATAGGTTTTGAAACTTCTCTCTTCTCTAATCTTCTCTTTGTGCTGAAGACTGAGCCGATCATACCTTGGTCTCATCCAGAGTTTCATATATTACTGAATGATAACCTCACTATGTGATATCACCTCAATCACCTTTCCTCCTCCCTTTCTCTTCAAACTAGTTACATCATCTAATTATGCTCTTTAAGGTCTGTTTGTTATACAAATATTATGCCTCATAGCAGCATTTTTCCTGCTCTTTGCATCCATAGCAATGATATGGGGTGTTATAACGGTAAATCATAGTTAGCATAAGTTATTATAATAATATATTTAAGTGGTCTCGACATCTTACATGGCCATGGTTTCCTTGTATGATATCAAGCATTCTAACTTCATTAGCATACTGTATCATGTGGTGGGCTGGAGATGTACGTGATTATTGGATGGCATTAACTATTCTTGAAATCATTGGAGTTTTCATAAATGTAATAATAGAATTCATTTACTATAACATATGAGTTTTTCAGATTTACTGCTTTGTCGTCGTTCTCATGTATTACAGACGTATAACAGCAACAACAGATGTTGTTGAAGGAAAATCTAGAATGCGTTATACCCGAAACGGATATTCAAGCAGGAGGGATTTGTTAGATTCCTACGGTAAGCTTCGCATTCTATCATCTTGCACACTATTGGATCTCTATCTATCCCTTTCTATCTCACCTCTCAATTCGTTATGAATACGGCCGTTCGACGTTCAATTTTCTTTATTACAGACGATGGATTACATAGAGGATCAAAGAGCCCTTATCCTAACTACCAAACTCGTAAGATATATTTTTGAAATTCAATTTACTTAATTGAACAACTTCAGCTGCAAATCAACCGTATCCCTCGCCATATTCACCACAAGGAGTTCCTATGACTCCATTACCGGTTCCACCATGTTATACACCGTATCCTGCCGATGTTAACGAGGTAGTTATCACGCTCCTTATAAACTCATGTAATAACTATTCAGTTTGTCAATTATAATAAAGAACCCCGCCGACCTGTAGGTATGAACGGCACACAGATAGAAGAGGTGGACCCTGTTGTCAACTGGGTGAGACATCAGCAAAAAATAAGTAAGAAAGTAATGAATTTTTCCTTGTTACATGAAAGTATTCAGCATCTGAGAAAGGAGCCAACAGCGAGCCTGTATCTCCTAGCCGTGAAGTAGCCCCTGGAACATTTCCAATACAGGTAAGATATTCAATACACTTTACACCAAACATTGCTCATATTGCAGCATTCACGTTCGGTTCCTTCTATCTACGACGGTACATTGGTGTCTCACAAAGACTGTCGGCACGGAAAGCACAGGTATGTATTGAACGAAGTTTCGCAGTAACACAAAGCCAACTACAGAAGTTCTTCACGCAGAAGAAGATCAAAAAGCCGAAATCATCATTCTTCTGATTATTCGTCAGATTCTGATTCACGAACTCATAGACGAGATGGTTTGTATTACTTCTACGGCTTAAAAGAAGTTACACTATTCAGATCATTCTCATCATCGCGATGGAAGTAAACGGCGTCATAGAAGCAAATCCCGGTATTCTGAATCAGAATTCACAGCGACAACAGATCATCATCATCGTCGCCACGATAGGTGAGAGTTGTTTACTTTAAACTTATGAAAAACAAGAATTCCATTTTTTAGACCCCGCAGTGAGCACTCCAGACACAAAGATCGTGATAGGCATAGAGATAAAGACGATCGAAAAAGACACAAAAAAGACCGTGACTATGATCGTGATAGAGACCGTGATAGAGACCGTGATAGAGATCGTGATAGGGACCGTGATAGGGACCGTGATAGGGACCGTGATAGGGACAGGGATCGTGGTCGCGACAGGAACCGCGATAGAGACCATGAAAGAGATCGTCAGTCAGAAAAGGCTCCAGCGCCAGCCGAGCCAAGCAGTGAAGGAAGAGTGTATGTCACCATAACTATATACATATCTATATATATTATATTATAGTAGAGAAACAAACTTAGACACTGTTGGATTAGATGGTAATGCCTTTCCAATGAGCGGTGGAATAACCATTCCTCAGCACATCGTAATTCCTCCATCAAATGGTGAAAGAGGTCCTGATGGTCAGCCACTTCCACAAAAATATCAAATAAACTCAGAGATATTTCTGTATTCAGTTTAAAAAATATATATTTTAATAAAATAAAATGTAAAGATTGATAGATCAGATGGATATTGAGACTATCTGACGTTAATGTACATAATCTATATTGTATACTATGTTAACTATAACATAGATGTGTATTATATATACTAACTATGCTATCATATATCTTCTTTTTTTTCTCAAAAAATGTGATTTTGAAGTCTATTCATATTAATATTTCTATTCGGTTACATATAGAACTTTCATTTTTTCCAATTGTCATGTATTTACATCCATATGTGTTTCTCATTTATAAAATGATTTGCATTTCACAAGAATCTCTCTCTCTCTCTCTCTTTCTCTTTCGCTCTCATACAAGCTTTCCATTGATTTTTGAATAAAGAATCAACTTTTATTTATATTTCAATGAAATCCGCTAAATTGAGACTAATCTGATGGATGATGTTACTAGGAATTGAAAAACTCTTTGTTCTGTTCGATGATCCTCCTTTCCTATAAGGAGATAACTGTTGGGAGCTCAAGAGTTCCTAGGATACTCTCTTCACTATGTCAGTCGACCGTTTACTCACATTCTATTTCTTGGAAAACAAAATTATGTTTATCACAGTGATTCCATGAATTAGTAATAACATGACCGATCATCACGATCAGCTCAAACTCTCTTCAATTGTTAACGAACGACAACGTT